CCCCCTCCCCCCCCTCCTACCAGAATCACTCCTTGCCCATGATCGAGTACTCCCACCCCCTCACTCTCTCCGGCGGCAAAGACGACTTCTCCGCTCTCGCAATGTTCCAAGACAGTGTCAAAAAACTCAAAAGCCCCAAAACTTCTCCTGGCCCTGCTTTGTCCAAGGACCAGGTCAATTCCGCTTTCCACCTTCTTTTCGATTGGTTCTATGACTCCTTCGGCTCTGTCTCTCTCTCCGCCCTCCACCACCCCAAGTTTCAAGCTTTTCTCACCCAGGTTGGTTTGCCCACTCACTTGCGAAGGGAGCTTTCTGGGCCCAGGCTTCATTCTAGGTTCGGGGAGGCCAAGGCTGACTCCGAGGCTAGGATAAGGGATGCCATGTTTTTCCAGCTCGCCAGTGATGGATGGAAGAATGCTGCTGCTGCTGCTGCGGCTGCGACTCATTGCTTTCCTCTCTGTTGTGCTGAAGGAGAGGGTTTTGTCAAGTTTCTTGTTAATCTCCCCAATGGGACTAGTGTTTTTCAGAAGGCTTTCTTCACCGGGGGTGTCGACAATTCCAAGTATGCTGAGGAGGTTTTGTGGGAGACCGTTACGGCGGTTACGGGAACTGGGGTGCAACGCTGTGTGGGGATTGTGGCGGATAAGTTTAAGGCCAAGGCGTTGAGGAATTTGGAGGTGCAGCACCATTGGATGGTCAACACCTCTTGCCAGGTTCAGGGGTTCGCTAGTTTGATCAAGGATTTTAGCCGCCAGTTGCCCCTTTTCCGCTCTGTTGTGGAGGGCTGTTTGAAGGTGGGGAGGTTTGTGGATGGCGAGTGTCGTGTGAGGAGCGTGTTTCTCAAGTGCAGGGCGCAGGAGATGGACTGTGGTGGCGGCCTGATTCGCGTGCCTTCGCCCAAATGTGACCCTTTGAGGAACTTCCATGTGGTGTTACCATTGCTGGAGGATGTTTTGAGCTGTGCTAGGGTGATGCAGATGGTGGTGATGGAGGATGTGTTCAAGGTGGTGTGTATGGAGGATCCTTTGGCCAGGGAGGTCGCGGGGATGGTGCAGAGTGAGGGGTTTTGGAATGAGTTGGAGGCGGTTTATTCGCTTGTGAAGCTTGTTAGGGGGATGGTGCAGGATGTTGAGGCCGAGAGGCCGTTGATCGGCCGGTGTTTGCCTCTTTGGGAGGAGTTGAGGGGCAAGGTGAAGGAGTGGTGTGGGAAGTACAACATTGTGGAAGGACCTGTGGAGAAGATAGTGGACAAGAGGTTTAGGAAGAATTACCACCCCGCGTGGGCGGCGGCGTTTATACTTGATCCGCTTTACTTGATCAAGGATGCGAGTGGCAAGTATCTTCCACCGTTCAAGTGTTTGACAAGAGAACAGGAGAAGGATGTGGATAAGTTACTGACAAGGCTGGCTACGCGGGAAGAGGCTCATGTTGTGTTGATGGAGCTCATGAAGTGGAGGTCGGAGGGGCTTGATCCGCTTTATGCACAGGCTGTTCAGATGAAGCAAAGGGATCCGGTAACCGGGAAGATGAAGGTTGCCAATCCGTTGAGCAGTAGACTTGTGTGGGAAACTTGTTTGAGTGAGTTTAAATCCCTGGGGAAGATTGCAGTGAGGCTCATTTTTCTTCATGCGACTTCATGTGGGTTTAAGAGTAATTGGTCTTTTATGAGGAAAATTTCAGCTAATAAGCAGTCAAGAGTTGCCTTGGAGAGGGCTCAGAAAATGATATATATTGCAGCTCATGCAAAGCTTGAAAGGAGAGACTTCTCTAGTGAGGAAGAAAAGGATGCAGAGCTGTTTGCCATGTCTGGTAGTGAGGATGGCATGCTGGCTGAGGTCTATGCTGATGCTCCATTAGTGTAATGTGCTTTTTTTCAACTCTTATAGAATTGTGTAATTTTAGGATTTATTAGATTCTTTCCATAACTCTTCTATTATTCCCTTACATCTAGCGGGAAATTTTTCATGGCTTTGGGTTGAAACAGAAGGAATATTAGAGGGGCAAAAAAAAAGCATGTTGTTAGTGACTGTGTTATGATCAGCTTTGATTCTAATGAATCATCAATCTTTTTTTCCAGCAATATTTTGTAATTTTAGGGTTTGTAAAGGAAGAAGCCTTGCTCTTTTATCAGCATAACAACAATCCAGGAAAGGAGCAAGATGAATGTCACAAAAATTTTGCTTAGTGATTTTGTAATGAGAATGATTGTTGAGTCCTATTTCTAATATCAGTCTGCAACTTAAAAAGATGCGCTTCATCAATGCATGTCTAAAATTTGCCTTAACTAGCAATGCCATGTTTAATTCCTAATTCTTCTTCTACTTGTTCTTCTGCTTCACTTAGTGTAGCTCAAATACTGGAGTGGAAATAGCTTTCAGGATTTGATTAATTTTCTTTAAGACTCCGTGGTTCTCTTTTTTAGCTGTTGACATTGATATGATATAAAGCACTCGTGCAAAATATTTAAAAATTCAAAGCAAACTGAATTTTATGGTCTGAATGAAAAGTTTATTTATTTATTTATTTATTTAAAAAAAGAGGAAAGCTTTTATGTCTGGAGCAATTAATTAGTTAATTTATTTTAATGTTTTCTCAACGATAACTACGTTTAAATGACATCACGGGGTGTCATTAACATGATTTCTTCTCCCGAATGGGGAAAAGGACGCTACAAATAGTCCATGGAATTTTGATTATATATCTCAATTGATAGTTCATGTCTTGATATGCCATAACATAATACATAGTCTACAGATTCTGCTTGCCACGCTAATTTGTGTGACTGAATAGAATTGGATGAATTATCATACTGTTTGACCACCTGATTTCCATCACATCCAAAGACTTTAATGCTCCAGTTTAGTTCTAAACTGAGTTGACCAAAGAACAAAAGATGTCTCACTGCTTTCTGCAAACTGCCTGATGTGGAAGTTTCAGTTCCTCGTAGGGTCTAGCAAGATAAAGAGTTCTCTTCATGTTTCCTGATTTTTAAAACCACTTGGGTATGGACCATACTGTTGTTGGACTCACCCCAACTACTCTTAACTCTTATGTTATCCTAGGAGCCAAAAAATAAGAGAATTCTCAATTACTTGTTATATTTTCAATTGTTATCAACTATTAAGGTCCACCATACTGTGAGCCAGTAACTCAGCTTAAGTCCACTTTCAAGTAAATTTCTACTTCCAAGCTGTAAGGACAGCATTTCTATTCTAACGGTATATGTTGCTCCTTGGTCTCTCTCTCTTTCATAGGGAGGGCTATAGAAGCATGTGAGTGCCTTTAGAGGAAAGTGGAAACATATATCTGGCTGTTTTTTGGTCTCACCTTTGAAAATTGAGTCAAGATTTGGCGTCTTCTGTTCTCAACAGTTTATAAAATTGTCACAAGTCAAGCATGCCCCTTCATTTATTTTATTTTATTGTGAAAAAAGCATAGCTTTATCTATCTCTACATATGATCATAGTCATGTTTCACCACAACTAGAGACCGCATGATTGTTCATCACAAAAATGGGAACACTATACCTGAAAACCATATCAAATAAAAAATCTGATGAAATTCATTATATTCCTTCATGATGGAGGCAATCTCAAATGATGTGGTGTGGTGTGTACTCTTGTCACTAGATGCTCTCATGAATATGGAGTTGAGTTACTACAAATGTGACACAAAAATGGGGGGCTCCCAAAATTTGAATGTTACTTTTTGGTGCAGAATTGGAATGGCTTGAAGCAGTAGTAGGGTGGGGTGGCAAACACAACATGGTTTTGACGTGTGTCAACCTCGGAAGAAGATAAGAATTTTTGTATCCGAAGAAGCATTACGCATAGTCATAGATAATCTGGCATATCTCCTGGTGTGTTTGTTACTACAAAATGAGTAGGCCCACAATGGAGAGTGGATATCCATGTCAATGGTGTCATGGTCAAAGGAGAGTGAGGTATGAGTATGAGTGGCCTTCCTTCACATCGATCCACATACTGTTTCTCTCTCTCTCTCTCTCTATGTATATGTGAATGTTATTATTGTTTTTGTTTAGCTAATGTCCCACAACCTTTGGTAACTTTCGTTTGAAACATTTATTTTTGTGATAATATATTTGTTAATGGGGCCTTATGTGCCATGTTTATCTCAATGTTGAAAATTGGAATTTTGCAGAATTAACCGTTTAGGTTGCCATGATTGCTAAAAAGGCTTGGAAAAAAGTTGAAACAAGGAGTGTAGCCTCAAAAAATAAAAAAGGAAAAGGCTTGTCGGTATGAGAAGGCACATGATATGGTTTAGACCCTATCGCAATATGCAGCCTCAATGTTTCAGAGATTATTGGAGCCATGAACAGCAGGTTGGTGGTTCAAGGGTTCTGGTGGTGATGAAATTTCATATCATTTTTCACCCTTCTTGTCAGTCATATGCCATGACACCCTTTTTGTTGTTGTTGTCATGCTTTTATAAATTTCATTAAATTATGTAATTAAATTCTGATATACTATCAACCTGATGCAACAGTGTCCTAGTCAATAATACTACCTCTTCCTCTCCCTCTGTGCAAGAAGAACACATGAAACATGAACAGCAGGGCTATCGCAATATGCAGCCTATTAATTAATGGATTTCTGACATCTAAGTGCTTAATTTATTTTGTAGAAAATATTTTGATATAATTGATTTTGAACCACTAAACTCAAGTATAGATTTTATATTAGAACCTTTTGTACAATGAGAGGAATTAATTCTAGTGTAAATCAAAAAGGCCCTAATGCATCTAAGAAATAAAGAATTTGGTTGTTAAAAGAAGACAATTTTTCTGTAGTAGGCCTTTTACTACTAAGGCAATCTCTTGCTAATAAAAGATTATATATATATATATATATATATTAATTCATGTTCATGTATAGTGAAGAAAATGCTTTTACGAATTAATTTGTATATATAAAAAATGATCAATGATCATGGATATATATTATTACCTGATAAAATTATGGCTAAGAGCACTCTTGTAAAAGATAAAATATATATATATATATATATATATATATATATAATATTATATTATATCGAAGAGCAATTCTTGTTTTGGTACAGAATAATCAATGAAAAGCTTCAGGATGCATTAAAACAATAATAACAAAGACAGTAAAAATTGTACCCAAGTTATTTTAAACTTGTGATTGGTGATATTCATAGATACTGCTGCTTTTGAATGAGGACTCTAGTACTACATTCCATAATAAATCATGGAACAGTATGTCCTTTTACTGCACGTACAGCAGCTTGAAACTGGCACCAAGTTAGCCTTAGCCACTCCTTTTCTCTACCAACTTTTCTTCACTCTTTCTCATTATGATGAAATTCCTACATATTATGTAGCATCACTCTCAACAATGTTAATTCGTTTTGTGTTGTATATTTAACTGCACTGTTATGTGTCACATTGAATTTACTGTTCTTGCCTTGGAGTATATTGGTTTAAGTATCTCCAACCACCTCAAGGCAAGAAATAATGAAAGTTTCTGTAGCTCCTTAATGTGTGGCAAAAAGTCAAACAAGGTTGTAAATGAAAAAGTTATGTGGCTTACTGAACTCATTAGTAGTGTAGGGTGCTGTATTGCTGATTTCTTCAGAACTGATTTATCTTTCTACTCAATTTGGTGTAGTGACAGTGGATCATGTCGGCAATGGCAAGCAATTCTGACTGCTGACCAACTAAAAGGAAAAGACCCTTTTTTTTCTTTTTCTTTTTAATTTTAAATTTAAATTTTTTCCCTTTTGCTTGTTGTATGGTATAATTTCATTTTTCATTCCAGTCTGGTTGTTCTTGTATAGAAGAGGAGGATGTTATGATTGGCATAGGACAAGGCCATCTTTTTACAAGAATCTTCACACTTTCAATGTTCCCCCATGATTAATCTTTCTTTTTAATGTCTCTCCTTTTTCTTCCCACTAAACACAACCCCCCTTATTTTAGGATTCAAGATAAATTTTTGTTACCTTGTAATTTGTGTTATGGCCTTGTATTTTGACTTTTAACCCTTCATTACCCTCATGATTTTACTGATTCTTTTCATGGCTTACAAATTCTTTCATACATGAATGAAAATCCAAAACAAAGAGCTCTTCCATTGCCATGTATCTAGTGCTTGTGGGAGTGATCACACAAGCTCCCCTTTGCTTCCAAAACCCAAAAGAAAATTTGCGAGAGTAATACGAGAAAATAAGCTATTAATTGACATTTAATCCAAATCATACATATGGAGAGTTTATTAATTTTTATAATAAATAAATATCTGTGTATAGTCATTAAATTCGAGTAATAATTTAAAAAATTATGAGAATTGATGTAGCAATTTTCTCCGGTTGAATTTTTCATATGATTTTATCTTGTTGAATCTTTTTTTCACAGATATTAAATATGAAATAAAAAAGATACACAATTTAATAGGTAAAGTAAAATCTTGTTTATATTTTTACATGTATAAAAAAACATAGATGTAAATTTTTCACATGATAAGATCATGTAAAAGGTCAACATGAAAAGATACTAATTCCCATCTCCACCAAAGAATCACATAGCTAGTGCTCTAGCTTTTACTACCTTGAATTAGGTAATTTAATATTCTGATTTCAATTACACTTTTACTCATACAAAAGTGTAAACCTTAATCTCACAAGGAATATTTTGGAGGTGATTTGAGACACAGTTGATATTCCCTCCTTCTCCTTGTCTTTTTGATGCCAATCAGCTAACTAACCATGTAAACTTTAACCTTTGGTAGTATTTTGGTAGATTTGAAAATTTTTGAGATTGTGATAATGACAATGATTACACCTTAATCAATTAATTGTTCTCCGATCAAAATGTGGACTGTGTGACAATGATTACACATTAATCAATTCATCTCCTAACAAAATCTTGACCGTGGGTTTCAAGATCTATGGTTTTTCCTTGCTACATACCAACTAGCCCTACCTTTACCTACCCCTACACAAGGGGTCCTCTAAAGTGTTAGAACTCGTAGAAACATTTTGTGTAATAATGTAAGCACGTATTATTCCTTGTTTTTTAGGGCATGGCAATCATAACAAATGTTATACACGTTGATAGAAAGAGGACAACAAAACTGGAGGGTAAGCTTGTGACTTGAGCCACCAGAAAATAGACTCTTTTTTTTTTTTTTTTTAAATATATACTTATTGTATCTAATAAAGTTTTCAAGTTTTATTTTGTATTTTTATCTAAAAGGGTTTATTTTGAAGATAATTTACATATAAAAAGAAATTAAGTTGTGGATCACGTGAATACACACCTATTCTGCTAGGTATATTGTGTGTTTAGGTTAGGATTTTCTTTTTATTTGGATTTTTCTGTTTTGCCATATTTCAGCCAAAAGGGTATTTCATGATGTGAAAATTCCATGTTTCACAGTTTTTCCTGGTATCGAGTTGGGTTAATTTGGTTTATAGTCAATATTCAAACCTGCTTACACTCTTGATTCTCAAATCAAATTTTAAATTGTTACAATGAAAGTGGCAATCTATATCTATACCCAAAAAAAATCTATACCTATACCTATATGTACTTTAAACTTTTCAAACTACAAAAATTACTATTCATTCAAGAAAAGTAACTTATTTACTCTCTCCCCTATTATTTATACAACTAATTCAGCTAACTACTTTTTACATTAAATTTTTTACAACCACATGTTCCTTCAAAAATACGTTATTATTATTCATTTATTTTACATGTCACAAGTCTTGAGGTTTTAAATAATATAATTTGATGTTAAATCTAAAATAAATATAAGACTAAATTATATTTTTTAATTCTTTTATCTTAATTTTTAGATTTATTTAGATTTTTTATTTTTAAAATATTTATTTTAGTCTTTTATCTCCTAAATTTAAATCTATTTGATCATTTTAAAATAATGATTATTTTTAATTTTGAGAGATGATTATTTTATTAATCGATTCAAGACTTAAAATTTCTTTAATCATATTCATTTATATAAAAATTATTAAATATAACTAAAGTTTAAATAAAAAAGTATTATAAACATGATAAAAAACTGTATATAAATAAGTAAAAAATAATAAAAATAATTCTAATTTTTTTTATATGATTTTTTAATTGCTCAAAGATATATTTTTCCCATAATTTTGATTATGTTTATAACTCTTTTAGATTTAAATTTTATTTCATACTTTTCATATGAGTGAATTTAATGAACCAAGTTTTAAGTTTTGAATTGGTTAATAGAAGATTAAAATTATCTCTCAAAATTAAAAATAATTATTATTTCAAAAAGAATTAGATATATCCAAATTTAAGAGACAAAGAATCAAAATAAACATTTCAAAAAATAAAAAATCAAAATAAATTAAAAATAAGATAAAGGATAATTTATCCTAAATATAATATTTATATGAATAAAGAACTAGATGAGTAATAATACTCTTAATTAATAGCTGGTGGTGTAAAAAAAAGAAATACTCTTAATAGTTGGACGATTTAAGTAACATAAATTATCTAAAATGATCTTTTGAGACCCCATATCAATTATAAAGTATAGATATGATTAAATAGACTTTATACTTTGACAATCTTATACTTTGAGTAAAATAATTATCTAGGAGGACCAAATAAACATGATTTAAAAAAAATAAACTAAATTAATTAATTTGGGAACTATTCAACACAACATCTTATCATTATTAAAAGAATTACACAACCTCTTATTTGTCTTAAATTAATTTCAGTGTTATGTTTATTATTGACATATGACATTATTTTTGCATACAATACATATAAGATATTAAAATATCTACATTTTTTTCAGAAAGAAACTATTTGTTCCATATGTCGTACGGTCAGCCAAACTATAGTTTATGAAATTACCATAAATGATTGTGACAGTGTTAGACGCAGAGATTTCAAAAAGATATAAAGCTATGCCTGGTGGGGAATAAGCAATTTTGATTTTCTAATTAACATTTATTCCAACTACAATAAAATAATTATGTAAATCACACTGAAATTATCCTCATCAAATCAACATCTGGAAATTTACAGGAAGCAATGCTTGAAATTTTTTTGAGTCAATTATATATATAATTAAAATGTATAATAAATTATATATATATATATAATGTTTGAATATATAAATTATATTTTATATTTATGATAAATAATTTATATTAT